CCCCAAAACCCCAAAACCCCAAAACCCCAAAACCCCTTGGGCAATGAAAACTATTGAAAATTGAATAATCGAAAAGTTGAATGGCAACTATCTATTTCAGGTTTTCAAGTCCTTCAAATTTCATGTGCAATGGAGCTGGATGCATATTCCTCGGAGTAATCTCTATCTTAGAGTTGATACTGGTTATATATCTGCTATCTAGGTTGTCTAGAGTGGCTCCATTAGTCTGGACTGGAGAAACAAAGCTCTGGCTTGGAGAGTTATCACCCGTTCTGTAAGCTTGTTTGTTTTTCTTAACCATCTTCTTACGGTACTTGATAGATGGAACCATCTTATTAATTGTTCTCCCAGTTTCAAGCCCTGAGTTTTCTCCATACAAAGTTTCTTTGGGTGAAGTGTCAAAAGAAGAGAACCTTTCATGATAAGCATTGTTGCTTTTCTTAATTGGAGGAAAACTTAATGGAGGAATCGGTGCATCGTTACCAATAGCAATGCTCTTAGAACGTTTATCAATAGGATCATTAGTTGAGCAGTTTTGGTCCTCAAAAATAGAGCCAAGTTTTCCATTATTTCCTTTTTGATACCCAATAGCATCTATCATCAAACCAGGATCAGCTACAGCACTATTATTCTGATCTAATGCTATGGATCTCTTAGTAGAAACCTACAGAAAAAGGATTAGCTCAAATTTACTGATCTCTTATGTGATATCGTAATGGGGTTCTTCAGCATCTCATTTAACCTCATTGCTCTTCTCTGAGAATTCTCTTCAGCAAGCCTCACTTTCTTACCTAAACCTTGACTTTGAAACCTACTTTTCTTATACAAATTTATTGAGATTTGGGATTTATCCTGGGCTAGCTCTTTCTTCTTTTGCTCTTGTATTAACTCATCGATAGCCTTCTTGCTTCCAGATTTAGCCTTACTCTTTATCTCCATTGCCATCTATTCTGATAAACAGCCTCCTTACTTTAGAAATAAAGTCATGGGCTGCACTATTATAGTTCTGAAGAGGAGTGATGTCTCCTTGATGTGCTAGATATCCGTTGTGAGAATCCTCTGCTTCTTCATCTCTTAGCTGTCTAGACTACATAATCAACTGAATATACCTATTGCCAAAGTTATTCTCTAACTTCCTAGATTTCTTCTTAATGTTCAAATCTGATTGTGAACTTCCTATATGGAAACATGAGGCTTTTGGGTACTGAGGTCAACTCCATCTCCTCCGAAATCGCTTTTCTGGTAGCCGCTATTTCTCTTAGAGTTTTCCAGGATTAGTCTGAATTCCTCCATTTGCTCATTTGAATGCTTATTTTAAATGATTCTTGATATAGTTGTGCATCATCTTCTGGGGATCTATATTAGATAGAAAGATAAAGAGAACAAGAGTAGTTTGATAAACCATAGAAGTTTATATAGGAGTATTATATGTTTATCTCAAAGTTTATGATCTGTCGATTGTACCAATCCATTCCTACAAAATATCTTTCCTTTGGTGCTAAAAAGTGGCTCCTTTCAGCACTTTTGCGCATTCTCTTAGGAATGTTTTAGAGGTTTATTTACCTGTTCAGTTTTGGAGGGAGGCAATAGGTTGGTTACTCTCTTCGGGTTTATTTGGAAAATGTTAGTTGGCTCTGAAGGGTTAGGGGGAAATACCTGAATTGTGTTCTTTGAAGCTGGTGAGGAGTTGTTTAGCATGCTGAGCTTTTTGTTGAGAGGTTTGGTGTGAGGGGAGTCTAGGATGTCCTCTGGGGGGTTAGGGATACCTTTCTTGCTATAGTTGGATAATATAGTTTCTTTCTTGTCAAAACTGTGCCCTAAAGAGATTTTATCACTCTGGATTAGAGTTTCATGCTCTGGAGTGCTCTCTTTCTCGGTTTCTTCGATAGACTTTTGGTTCTGTTTCAGAGAGTTTTCAATAGTTGATTGTAAAGAGTAAATTTTGTCATAAAGCTGTTTGGAAGTTTCATCAAGCTCTTTTAGTTTGATATTTTCAATCTCATTAATTCGATCTTTGAAGGTATCCATCTTATAGAGATTTTTCTCTTGAAGTTTGTGTATTTTCTCATTTTCTTTTATAAATTTTTGATGAAGTTCCTGCAGCTGGCTCTCTAATTTCTTCTGAGTCTTAGAAGTTTCTTTGCGATTATCTTCTCTATACCAACATATGATAAAATTATCAATATAATCCAAAGGTATACCTATATTTATGACTCTCTTCTGTGCTATCTTTAACAATTTTGGTAATTTTCTGCTCAAGATCGACTATCTTTATTTCAGATGCGCTCTCAGAGTCTTTTAGTCATTTTTGAATAGACTCAATGCTTTCATTAAGATTATATTTTAATTTATCAACTTTCTCTGTATTTTTTTGAGATATTTGCTCAAATTTTCTCTGAGCATCTCAAATCCAGTCCTTAAGGGAGGAATATCTCTGGTCTGGTCCAATTAGCCCATCAACTCTTAACGAGCTTGTAATGAGAAGCTCAAGTTCATCTCTTTGGGTTTTAAGTGAATTCTTAACTACATTCTCAAGATTTGCCTTGATTTGATCAAAGATAAACTCTTTCACTTCGTCTTTACTGAAGATGTCTTCTAGTTTAGTGTCTACTTGGGCTGAAACCTTCTTGATTTGGTTATTTAATTTCTTCTTGTTGGGACTCGATGTATTCTGACTTACTAGTGACCATACTTATTGATTCGTTGACCATTTTTCTAGCGTAACGTTCAAGATCCTCAACTATAATAGATATTAAGATAGAGCTGATAGCTTACTCTTGTTATTTTAACCTGGTTTCTGATGATGCTAACTGAGTATTAAACACATGATTTGTATTCTTCTGCTGATTGAAAGTTCTTTCCATTTTGACACTTATTTCATCCAAATGTTTGATAGAAGAGAGGCAGCTTTCCTTACAGAATTTGATACCTTGGACCAATCAGAATGGGATATTGTTCCAAGAATCTGGGTCTAGTGTTTCAAGTGTTGCTTCATCCTCCCCTTCCATAACATCGTTTTGCTCAATTTCTAAATCACTTTCCATTTTATATTTCAATTATTGCTATATTTTCTGGGGTTTTGGGGTTTTGGGGTTTTGGGGTTTTGGGGTTTTGGGG